AGTTTTGATTTGGATCTATTTATCTCTATGTCATTTATTTTAAAAAACTCTTCTGCTACTTTTAGAATTTCTAATAGCTGTTCTTTGTTGTTCATAATCCATGTTGTATTATCTGCATATGCAATCACTGCTTGATAGTATCTTGTAATGTTGTTACAATATGTTCCCTTTCTGATCTCTTGTTCTACTATATAGTTTAAACTCTTATCTCTTTGTACCTTTTCTTATAATAGATCATAGAAGATATGCCATATTAGCAATATTGTTAATGGACAGCTTTGGACATAAGTTTGGACATTTTTGAACAAAAATATAAATTAAAATTACTCAAAATTTTGTTAAGATAATCTATATACTTTTCTAAATAAAAAATATTCAGAACCTAAAAAAATATATAATCATATATTTTTTTGACAAATTTATTAATTATTAGAGCTTGTACATGCTTTGAACACTCTTGAACACTTAGACATTTGGACATTAGATATAGTTAAAAAAAACCTTGGATAGTGAAAAAGATACAACACTGCCATATTAGTAGCAATATTATTTCATCTTGATCTATTCCATCTCCTGTTATTATTTCTTCTGTTAGGCTATAAGCTGTAATTATTTTAAGTTATCTTTTATAAAAGAGGTTTAAGATATACTTGATTGTCTTCTTAAATATTTTAACTTTTTGCAGAGCTAGTTCAAGACTTTTAAGTAACACTGAGTCAAATGCCTTTTTTATATCTTGTAGAAGTATTTACAGCTCTTTATTATTTTTTTTTGCCTTTTCTATTATCATATTTAAGATGTGTACAGGTTGTTCTATAGAGTTCTTTAGAAGGCCTGCATAATTTGGTCCTTTGAGTATCTCTTTTTTAACAAATATTTTGCTAAGCCTTCTTGTTACTAATTTCATTACAACCTTTCTGAATGTTTCAATTAGTGCTATTGACTGAATGTTTTTAAACTATATCTCCATTCTACATCTTTTGGTATTAGATATACTTGTGCTATTTTCTACTTTATTGGTATTTCTTCTGCATCTAGACTATATATAAGAATGAAATTATTTTGAGAAGACAAAACCCAAAATTAAATTTGAAGACAAAATTGTTTTGACCTACCTTTACTTAAAAGATGAAATTTTTTGATACTTTTTTTGAATAGATGAAATTATAAAGAATATAAATATAAAATTTTATTTGTTCTTTCTTATAAAAAATTTTAATTTGCTTTATTGAAAACAAAATAGGTCTTTTTTGAAAACCTATTTTCATGACATGTATAATCTAAACATAGATCTGCATAGGCTCTGAATACTTCTTGTGTCTTCTTTTCTGCTCATTTAATTAAAGTATAGCTTATTTCTGATATCTCAGAGGCTGTTCCTGTTTTAAGCTCTTTTATTATTTTATTCCATTCCTCCTTCTTAATTCCTTCCTCAATTCTGCTATATCATTCTTTTTTAATGTAATTTTGTGGTTTATAGATTTCTTTCCAGCTTTCTAACATCTCTTCTAATTTGGTGTTCCTTTTCCTAAACTGTTTCTTGTAGTGTTTTGCTATAGCTTCTTTAATCAGCTCTGGCTCTGTCAATAGTTTTGTCTCTTCTTCTGCCTATTCAATTAATCTGTCAAGCATTATCTTATTATATAATTTGTTTAAAAGGCTGGCTATTATTTTTCCTTAGTCTGTTTTGATCATTTTACATCTTTTATCTATGTTTTTCTCTATTTGTCTTTTTTGTTCTTGTTCTCATTCTTTCTTTTTCTTTTCTTGAAGGATTCTCTGCCAACCCTTTATGTCTTTTATTTAGATATCTGACTATTGTTTCTGTATTTTTGGTAACTTTGCATCTATTTTCTTGCTTAGTGCTTTAAGCTTTCTATTTAGCTCACTTTTTTCTTCTTCTGTCACTTTCTGACCTTTTTTTGTCTTTGCATATTTGATTAATCTTTGGAGCTTTACAATGGTTTTTTTTTGTTATTGTTTTTCTTGATTATATCTTCTGTTTGTTGTTGTATTATAGATCTTTTTCTTAGATAAATGTTTATTTGCTATTATTATAATTGCCTCCTTTATTATATCCCATATATTGTTTATCTTTTTCATCTTCTTTCTTTTATCTTGTTCTTCCTTTTGAATATGCTTCAATGTCTCTTTTATCTCTAATTATTTCTGCAATTTTTGTGCATAGTTCTTTCACTCTTTATCTTTTGTTTGGTTATAAAGATATAATGTTCTTAACTGTCTTTTCTTTTTAACTTCTGCTTTGCTATTTTTTGCTATTATGTGCTTTACCCATATTTATGCTGTTACTATCTTGTGATTACTTTTAGTAATCTCTTTTATGTCTTCTATTTCAGCTTTTTGTAGACCTGAAGCTAATCCTTCTGACACCCATATATAATCAATTCTTGTTGCTGCTTTTTCATTTAACCATGTGTATTTTTGGCTTATTAGGTGCATTTTTCTGTACATATTGCAAAAGTCTTGTTGTTTTATTCAGCTAAATATTGGCAGTTTTTTAAAACTTGCAGCTTTTGGATTTTGTTTATCTAATATATTGTTTACTATATGATTGAGTCATTCATGATAACTATTTGTGTTTATCTCTTCCTTTTAGTGGCTATCTCTACTATTTTTTGCTGAATGCTTCTTCCTACTTCTTTGTTGTTTGGTAGTATATAAACTCTTATTATTATTAACTCTATCTGTTTGAAGTATAAAATGATTTCTATCATATACTCATTTATCTTCTTAACAGTGCCATGTGCTTTTTTAATAAAATCTCTATGTTAGATCCTTTTTCTTATCTTCTGTTGCACTACTCCAATATCTAATATATTTTTCAGTTACTCTGTATATTAAGAATTTTCCTTTTCTTTCTGTAATGTTTATTTTTATAATTTCTAATAATGTGATTTCTTCTTCTTCTGTCTAGCTGAGCAGGTTTCCAAGCTTTTAACCTTTGGTTTTTAGTCTAATGATGTTGTAGCATGTTATTTTTATCTCTTTTTTTTTCTCTTTCTTCTTTTCTTTCAATCAGTTTTGTTCTGTTCCTATACTTCCTACCTTTTCTTTTCCTTTTCTGCTCTTTTTTTCTCTTTGACAAGGAGGTATTATTCTTTTTCTTTTTTTAAATACTCCTCTCTCCCTTCACAGAAAATCCTCAATCTTCTTGTCTACACTCATTGGTTCAACTAGAGTGCCCTTAGAAGTGATTTGCTTGGGCCATCCATGCTCTTTCTTCAGCTTTCTTCAGTTTTTCTAGTCTTTCTAATATTTGGCCAAATATGTCTTCTATATATGAAGTTCACTTATATAACTTGGCTGTACTTTTGAATTCTTCTCTTGACTTTTCTTGTTTTTGGTCTCTGTCAATTGAATCTTTTTTGTTTTCTCTTTTGTTCCAAGGTCTTCTACTCTTTTGTTCATTTCTCTTATCTCTTAACCTTGTGCTGTATTTACTCTCCTTTGTGAACTCCTTCACACTTGTGTGCCTTTTTTCTGAGCTGGTGTCTTCTATCATTTCTTTTTTTTCTCTTTGTGTTTTTTGCATCTTGCTGCTATTTTCATGAATTTCTCTGACCTTCATTCTTATTTTAACTTCACAGAACATCATGGTTTTGTTATATCAGATTTTTTTCTTAGTGGCTATGTCTATATCTATTTGGTTTTTGAATAATACTACTGTGTAGCTTCTTGGCCTTTCCTATCTGTTTGGTGTAATGTATACTGCTATTGTCTTTCTGACTTTGAGTTCTCACAGTAGAATTAATTCAAAAATTTCTTTTAGTATTCCTTTTAATCTTGCCATAAACTGGTTTCTTTCTTCCTTCTTTTCTTCTTCTTTTTTATCTTTCATCATTCTTGTCAACTTTCTACTTCTTAAGAGGATTACTTATAGGAATGTTTGTTTAACTTTTTTTTCTACTTTTATTATTGCTGTTGTCCTGTATGCACTTTTTTTAATCTTGCATACAACTACTTAACTTACTTTCTTCACTAGGTATTTGATCTCATACTCTGAGACCTCCTTTGGCAAATTTTATATTATTAATGTCACTGTGTCTTTTTTTTCCCTTTATCTAAAAGTTTTGTCTTCTGTCTTTCTTATTTCTTTTGTATCTTTTTCTTTTTTTACTGATCTTTCTTTCTGTTTTAATTCATCTTTTTTCTTGGCCTCATCTTCTTCTAACTCTTCTGCATCTGGAATCATTCTAAACCAGTTGTTGTGTTTCCTTTGGATCTTGCTGATTGTCTCTTTTCTATCATATTTACAATTAAATATAACTACAATCTATGTATTTCCTCTTTTGAATAGTTCTTTGACTTCTTTAATATGTTTGTTAAATACCAGTAGCCTTTCAACAAATTTCATTCTTTCTTCTTGTAAGCTACCTGGTACATTGTATGCTGGTATCTTTGCTATATATGGGACCCTTATAGCAAAAGGAGGAGATGGGCCAAAAAAATTTTTTCTAAAAAAATTTAATATCTTGAATAATTAAATTGATTAGAATAAAATTAGCATAAGAATAAAATTTCTAATTTTTTGGCTCATCCTCTTCTTTTGCTATAGGGTCCCATATGTTGTTTTACTATATGTATGAAAACTTAAATAGTTTTTTACATAAGCTTGATACAGAATGTGTTAAATAAAAAGTGTTAGTATTACTTCTTAATATTGAGCTTAATCAACTTCCAAAACTGAAGAATTTTATAAAATGAAACAAATATTTAGAGTAAGAAATAGTTAAAAATTTAAATATTGAAAAGCAAGAAGATTGTGAGAAGGAAATAATTAAACCATTATTTTCGATATTTATGAGTCTTATAGTTCATTTTAATCTAATTAAAAAGATGTCAATATGAATTATACAAGATTTCACTATATTCAGGTGCAGATTACGAATTCTGTTATAATCAATTACTATTTTTTTTTAATTAAAGCTAAAAAAAATTTCCTGAAAGTACTAAAAAAAACATCTACAAAGATTACTATCTTAATAAAGTTTCTCAGCAATATTAGCTAATATGAATACATCTTTATCTTTTAGGTTAAAAAATTTTGGAAATTTTGGATCTCCTAATAATGCTTGAATTAGAATATTGTATTCATTTTCAGTTGCATTACAAAAATATTTTGCCATTAACTTGGCTTCGATCAATTCACTTAGTATAATATTTGTAACCTAAAGAATATGAAAAATTCTCCAACACCCAGTCTACAACTTTAAGATTGAACATGAATTCACATTCTCAATTTTTTTGTTTATGCGACTTTTAATATCTCTTCCTTTCTAGCTATTCATCAATAAATTGCTTTTAGTTTCATTTTCTTGTTCTTGTTTGCAATACTTTAACAAAAAGAAAAAGAATTGAAATAAAAAGTGAATAAGATTTAGTGTTTTGGTGTGTTGGTTATTGATCTCTTTTTCACATCGATCATAGTGTTGATTCCAAATTTGAAAGTAGTTATGACAATCTTCAACATTTTGTAAATGTTTTGGTAATGGATCTAATGATACTGGTGTTGAAACTTCATTAAAATCGATATGTTGTGTGAATATTCCTTGTAGATCTTTTGGATCTTTGTTTAATGAAAAAATATTATTCATTCCTTTTCTAGTCCTGATTTTCTTCAAATTCTTTATATATTCTGATGGGCTTTATGATTATTACTATATGTCGTGGATATAATAATATTTCCTATTTGTAATTCTTTAGATATTGACAGTTAATAAATAAAAAAATTTGAAAACTTTAGAGCTATTATAATATCATACCGCAAGATAATTTTTTCTTTTTATTAGGAGCTTTTTTAACTTCTAATTCTAAATTTTAGGTCGAATTATTAGTTTTGTGATTTTAATTATGTATTCAAAAACTGGTCATATACCATCAGAATCAGAACTTGATCCAGGTAGTTTCTTTTGTTTGCCTTTGTCTTGCACTCTACTATCGCAAGATAATTTTTTCTTTTTATTAAGAGCCTTTTTAACATCTAATTCTAACAATTTTAGGTTGAATTATTAGTTTTGCAATTTTCATTATGTATTCAAAAACTGGTCACATACCATCAGAATCAGAACTTAATTCAGGTAGTTCCTTTTGTTTGCCTTTATCTTGCTCTCTACTATCATAATCAGATTTACGTTTCAATTTCTTTCATAAGATAAAATTTTATTTATATTAATAATAACATGCATTTAATAAGAATCAGTTATATTGCTTTCAACTAAAATTCTTATTTGTTTATAATTTGGTGCTTCAATGTTCTCTATCAGAACAATTGGATATCGAGTGTTCTTTTACAAGATTTTAATAAGAAAGATTTTGTTATTATTGAAGGTATTTAAGTACGAATATATAAATTTTTAACCTCATCAGAAATAATTTCATTTTCTTTCTCGTTAATCTTGTCATTAATCTGATAACTGCTTTTTTCTGATAGATTATTATTTTTTGATGAGATATTTGTTGGCTTTAATTTCATAAAATAATTAATTAAAATGTTAATTCTAATGAGTTTAATTTGAGTATTTATATGTTCGAATATTCTTGCCTTTTGTTTTAATTAATTTTCATGAATATTAGATTCTTTTGCTTTAACAATAACATGTTTGCCTTTTTTTTGGGGAGATTTATTCTTTTTGTGATTATTAAAAAAAGTTAAAATATCTTAAGTATTATAAGCTTTTTATATGACTTTATATCGAAATTGGATAGTTATTAAATAATTAATTTTTGGGTTAACTAGTAAATTATATATTTTTTTTACTTACCAGGCTGTTTACTTCTGAAATCGAATCTAAAAAATTTGAAGCTTCTGAAGCCAAATCTGAAACTTCTGAAGTCGAATCTAAAGAATCTGAAGCTTTTGAATAATCTAAAAGGTTTGAAGCTTTTAAATATTTAAAGCATAATTTTAAATCATTAATTTAGTGTTTTAATTTGTAATATAAAAGGTTAGCTTACCTATTAATTTTGTTTTTTTTTCAAATAAACTTGTAAATATTAAAAAAAACAAGTTAAAATTATAGTATTGTGTCAATGCTTATGCAATCATTAATATAAAAAATACTTGCTGATGGAGCTTTCTTTGTAATAAGAATGTATGGATTTGGAAAATTCTTTAGATTGTTATCAATATTTTGAATATCCACAGTTTCGCGCTTTTTGCATAGTTAAAAATACTTGAATAATTGCTCTTCTGATTATTAGAATTCAAACTAAATTTTTGATTTATTTACCCTATCATTGTCAATATCCATAGTATCACGTAGTAAATTCTAGATCCATTTTTTTTTGCAGTTTAAAAAACTTGAATAAACTCTAATTGATTTAAGAATTCAAAAAATATATATTTACCTTATTAATTCTTTTCTTATCGTCGATTTCCTGAATATTGGTATCCTGCAAATTCTAGAAACATTTTTTTAAAAAAATACTTGAATAACATCTGATTAATAACAAAATTTACAACATTTATTTACCTCATTATTTTGATCGTTGTTATTATCTTTAATATTTATATTGTGCAATAAATTCTAGAATTATTTTGGTGTATATAAAAATATTTGAATAACTACTCTTCAGACTAATAGAAAAATTTAAACTAATAATACTTACAATAATATTTTCCATTTACTCTTTTAATTATTAGAATAAGTTGATTTAATTAATTTAAAATTTCTAATTCGAATTAAATTGTTGATTTTTTACCTCGTCATCCTTTTCAAAAAGTTTAGTTGATTTAGTTAAAGACCTCAAATTTCAACTGATCTCAGCTGCCATAATTAAAAAGTTTCTTACCTGATTATTAATATTAATATGTTCATTATTAAGTTGGCACACATTTTTAATGTCATCAGCTTGCATGCTATTTTTTGATTAATTAAACATTTCAAAGACAATATTAATCAATTTATCTATGTCTTGGTCATGTTTCGAGTTGTCACTAACACTTTTATTGTATAGTTAATATTTTGGAATGTTCTTATTATCAGCAATTCTCTAAAAAAAATTCAGTTATTGTTGCATATTCTGAAATTCAAATATTATACAACAAAAAAATTTTTTGCTCTTGGTACTTCTAAATTTATGGTAATGTTGGTTCCATTATCTAATGAGATGGTTGCTAAGCGTAACTGGTTATTGAAAGTAACAGTAACAACTTTTCCACCAGTTGCTTTCCAAATAAGATTGATCGAATTTCTCAAAATTTCTTTACTTTTTACAATTTCAACCATTATTCTTTTAATATCACAATAGCAAAATTGTTGATGTTTTAAAAGTATTAAAGAATGAGAATTTATATATACTAGTTGCCAAAGGAAGCCAAGTTATTTATATAATTATGTAATGATATCATTATAAATTTATATATGCATACTCTTTGAAAATATAACGATAATTCCATTTTGTAATGATATCATTATAAATTTACATATGCATAATCTTTAAAAATATAATGATGATTCTATTACATATTTCATGAAATTGAATGATTACTTTTCTCATTGGTATTAAATATGTTATTTTTAAATTTGGCCCAAGAATGAGCAAGAATTTAAAGTATTACAAAAACAGGTGATTCATAATTATAGAATATTTATACTTTCAGTGATAGTATAAGACTAAGACTCATAAACTAAATAGACTAAGTCATTGATAAAGCCATGTATCAAGCTAATTAATTAGCATAAAACTTTAAGAGTTTTTACTAATCTGAAATATTTTATATTCTTCCACTGAACATTTATCACTTTTAACTATATATTTATTTCTAATTTGTTTTTCATATGAAAATTGATTACTCCAACAACTAGAATTACTATCAATTGCATGACCTGTTTTTTTTACACGACTTAAAATAGAATTGTGAATGGTGCCATTTTTCAATGAAAAAATAAAGCTATCTTTGCAATACTTATAACCTACAAATGATTTATCCAAGATTAATTTTGTCAGATCGTCTAAAGCTTTATTATTTTTACTAATCGCAGTATATGCATTAGCTCGAATACGAACTGATGTTACATATCATTTAGTATTACACATGATATAAATATAATATTTTATTGATTTTTGTTATATTAAAATTTTTACTTGTTTGATTGTATCTCTTTAGTTGTCATTATCGTTACGTATCATGCAAATAAATTTTCTAATGCTAATGTTAATAGAAATTATATAATTATATGCATCAAAAATATATCACACCACAGTAAATCTATATTGAAAGGAATAAATTAACTACTTGGAAATGTGCAAGATCATTTTATTCAAATTTGTCCTCTTTAAGAATCATTGATCAACTTGGCTTAAAAGCAGGAAAAGTGCTGGCCGAAGCACTTTGTAGGATTATTCTTGATTCTAAAAGATGTTTTAGAGGATACTTCGAAAGATTTTGGTTCATCGGTCATAAAGACAAATTGTGTTTTTATTCAAATGAGATATTATCATTTATAAAATTTTAAATATTTTTAAAAGGTTTTGATTGTTGACAGACTGAACTTGGAGTTTTCATTTTATTTTCTTTGCAATGTTAATTGTTTGATTTTTTATATGTTTAAATTGTTAAATCGATTCAAATTGATAGAAATAAGAAAGTGAATTTATATCTTCTAAACATTGTATACATTGAATTTGTTTGGAATTTCCAACTATTTTAAATAGCCATTCCTGTATATATATGCTATATTTAAGCTAATTTATTTTAATATTTACAATATAATTAAGCAAATTCATAAACAGAATATGTATTTTGAAAATATGGATCATTATAAGGTTTTGACAAAATGATCAAATTAATAAACAATAGAGTTAATAAATGCTCTATTGTAAATTCATGGACTCATGTTTATGTCTAAGAACATACAAATCAGAAAATTGGGTCAGTGCTAGGATTTTTTTCTATCAGTCCTATCAGATAATTTCGGGATAACAAAGTCTCTATCGGGTAATACTGAATAAAATTAGTAGATAGCATAATTGAATAATTGACATAATTGGAACTTTAAAAAAAAAAAAATAGGTTGGCGGTTATGCAAAATGAAAAATTAACTTTGTGTAGCCTTATTCTAAAATGTTTAAAACATTGCTAAGACAAAAGTTGAAGAAAAGTGTTAAAATTGTTGTATGAACTATACTTATCATTGTTCGTAATGCTAACAGGAGCTCATCGAATCTTATCGAATTCATCAAATTTAACCTACAATTATGTGCAAGTAAATACCTTTGAATTTGATTCAGAATGTCTTGAAGATATTGGGTAGAGACGTGGAGGCTTAAGAACATTGTCTAGAACTCCTAACGCTAATATAGATAATTGATAAAACTTGATAAAAATTTATAAAATTAATGTAAGTATTAAAATTTTGTTTATCAATTTATAGAATTAGATAACTTACTGTTATCGTTTAAAATATAATAGTAATAATGTAATTAAAATATCAAATCATAATGTATATAAGTTGACATCACCATTAAAAATTTTAATCAAAGAAGCTCAACAATTTATTATAAGGTAAGATCATATAAGTTGACATTATCATTAATCAATAATCAATAATTTTCATAAAGTGAGATTATAGTCAAAAGTGTAATATATGATCATAGTCAAAAGTGTAATATATAAACACCTTGATTTTTCAACTTTTTCTCTTGTACTACTGCACAATTGAAAAGAATCATGATTGAAGCAATAGAAAATCCAAAAGAAATAATTAGGAACATGATAAGTCTTATATAGGAAGCTACAAAGGGAGAAGTTGAAAAAATTGTTTATGATGGCCAATTACACTCAGCAACCATTTTCTTAGATGATGGCAATAATTATGATGGAAATTTTTTTGACACACCTGGAGTGGTTCTAATTTCTAAAGAAATGTATCAAAAAACAATCAATAATCTAGCTAATATAAAGGGGAAAGAATCTATTATCATTGAAGATGTAGTCGATGTTAAAATATTTATTATTATAGATTATAATGAAGTTGGATTAAGATGAAATTATATTTATCAATGTTTTGCTTATTTTACACTAGGCAAAATTTCATTTTAATCTGATTTCATTTTAATCTGCCATATTTATTAATCAACTGACATAGTAACATTAAGACACTTTCAAATAAAACTTAGGATCTAGTTAATGAATCATAAGAAGATACATTAATTATTGATGCTTAAACAAATAAAAATAATACTGGAGAAGATCAATAGCTTAAAGATAGTCATATGAATGATTATTTTAAAATTTCAAAAAAAAAAGGAAAAAATAAAGTAAAAAACAAATATTTTTTAATATTCAATTGTTTTTTACAAAATTGATGATTAACATTAATGTTAATAAATCATAAGGCAACAATATTTTCAATAATATTAAATTATAAATGTAATTATAAATGTAATTATTAACAAATCATTGAAACCTTAGCAAGGAGAGTACTTTAATGACTTTGAAAGTAACGAGGAACCTGATAAATTATTACCTAATTTTCATTCAACAATCAATATTACTGTCAATACTTTGGAAATTGCTAGCATTAACAATAATCAGATAAAAAAAAAATTCTTTAAGACAAGCATAAGGAATTTGAAAATTTTCTGTAACTAAGTTTGATGAATCTTTGCCTAACAATAGCAATCAGTTAGTGTTATCTCCGAAATGCTTGAAAATACAACCCTAGCAAGTAATATTACACAACTCGATAAATCTAGAGATAATGATCATGTAAGAATTTTAAACTAGTCAATTAATAAATTTCAAAAATATAATTATTAATTTGGATTACTATAAAGAAGTGTGAAAAAGAAAATTCAAGGAAATCTAAACATGTGTACCTTGAAAATCATCAAAGAGCAAAAAAAAATAAACGATTAAAAAGTGACAAAATCTATAAACAAGTGGATATTTCAGATTCTGATAATGACAGTCAAAATTCAGATTCTGATGACAGTCAAAATATAAGAAAGAAAAAGGCACCATATCATAAAAAAAAATGCAAGACTTTGGATAAAATCATTAAATTATAGCTAATTTAAGTATATTATTACTACCGCATCACAAAATAAAATTTTACTTAAAAGAAAAAATATTTTAAATTGTAGAAAAATCAACCCCACATAGGGTGGAAATCACTAGTTTTCCTATTGTTGTTGTAGAACAGAATGAACACTTTAGTAGAATAGTAAACTCTATTATGATTAAACAAATATTTTTCTAATCTATATTATTTATTTTGTTATTTTTAAAATCAGATAAATAACACTCAGTCAATATCACAACCCTCAAACCTCATAAAACTTGATGTATAAATTTTTTTATAATTATTAATGTTATAATTATTAATGTTATAAATACTTAACATGAAAATTAATTATGAAAATCTAAAAAGGAATCATCAGATGAATATTCTAATACACAAGAAGAAATCGATAAAATTAGATTTAATGAAGCTGTCGAATATGAAATCAATTCTGCAATAAATAATGAAGTAAGTTATATATTAAACATTTAATTTAAGATATTATTTAGTCTTTAAATGAATATTTTTAGTCTAATGCAATTGAAAGAAAAGAAACTCAACAGTAATTATAAATATTAATAATTGAATGCATTTGTTAATAACCACATACTAATAATTTCTGTAACCAAGAACACAGTTGATATTGAGACAAGTTTTTCACTCGATATATCAAATGATGTATCATCAAGTGTTTCGGAAAGTCATAAAATAAGAAATGTTAGTAACTTATTACTTACTTTTTTCTTCTTTCCTCTTTTTATATGTTGAAGTCTTTTTTTTTTGTCAAATCTAGGAAGTGTCTTCAAATATTGATCAGGTAAAGTTTCAATTATCATTATATACAAATCTTTAATGAATATACCCATTTAAATAATTATTACTATTAAAATCACAGATACAAATCAAGACATCCCACCAAATTCTAAAAATGACAAGGTAAAAATTATTTAAATAATCTAGTAAATTTTTGATATAATTTATCATTAATAATTATTATTAATAAAAGAATGCACAGAAGACTTTCAGACATCTTCAAATGATTCTTTCTCTGAAAAAAATGACCAAATTATTGAAGATAGTCAAATTGAGCAGGTAAACCAAATATAGGTTATTATTTGAATTTTATGAACTTGGTTTAACTTATTTTTTATAAAGTACAATGCAATCCTGAGTGGTAGTTCAGTAAGTATATAATTACTGTATATAATTACTTAATTATATTAAATATTACAAACAATAGTTTAGTACTTGTAATATTTATTTACATTTTTACTAAGAGAAATTCTATTTTTATCTAGGTTAAAGTCACCCAAAATATTACCAAAATTATTACTCAAAATCAGGTAAATAACAATATAAGTTATTAGGTAACTTGATCTCAGATGAAAATAGATTTTCCTTTTACTAAATTATAAGAATCGCAGAATGATAAATATATTAAGAATATGAACTATGCTTAAATTTGATCTAGTCTAGACAATATACATATTAATTATTATTTTATTTATTTATGAAAAAAATAAAATAGAAGATTTTCAAGTAATCCAATTGGATATTAATACTGTTCAGGTACTTTTTATGTAAATTAATTTTTATAAAACATTAATATTATCAAATTAAAAAGAAATAATCCATATAGACTAACAATGGAATAATGGCAGAATCAGATCATGACGATATTTCAGTATGTGGTACTTTAATTTTCAAGAGGTTATATAAAAATATGCAATTAATTTGTTATTTTTCTATCAAAGAATAATAATGAGAAAAGCTGATCTTATGGTAAGTTTAATCTGAAACTTTATTAAATCATAAACATCATAATTAATGTTGGATTTCGATCAATAGGGTCAACTACTATTAGCAAGCATCATAAAGCACCCTTCCATTATGCAGAGAAATTGAAAAATCTCAGAAAAAATAATGGAAAGTCGGAGATTTTTGAATCAAATCCAGGTGTCCAAGATGAAATGTATTCTAAGCCAATAAAAACTTATTTTACAGAAGATACAGCATCAACTTCTTTTGGGCCATTGCCAAATTTACAAATGGATATTACAAATTGTTTAGAGTTTTTATATCAATAGGATCAAAACTTTGAACAATGTGAAAAAGAAATAATCAATCAGCATTATAAAATGCTTAAACTCATTTACTCTTTGTCTGACTTTTTTTTTATTTTACTTATTCTTTGTTATCAGGAACAACAACATGAAATGAGCCAAAAGACTTTGGATAATCAACGAAAAACTGGAAGGGCGCAGATATAAAATCTCGGATAAACAAAAAACTTGGCAATCAATGTAAAGTTTTGAAAAAATAGACAGCCTGTTGGAGACTTTACCATTTTCTTTGGGTTACTAATGTAACACCAACTGAAATAATTGAAGTTAAATTAAATGCAAAATATTTTTTTGAAACAACTGAAGAAGATTATAATCTTCTTATCAAAGAATTATTGAAAAATTTAGAATTTACTGAATTTCATAACCCAAAAAGTGCAAAAGTATTGGGATTGGTCAATATTGCGAAGAAAATTATGCTATTTAAATATTGAGAATAATGTAACAGCATTGATAAAATTCTATTGTAATTTATAATTATTACTTTAGCTTCTAATAAGTTATAGAACACTTTCTTCTTGCAATTTTAATGAGATTTTCAATTGTGAATCAGAATCTGCTTATTTCTTAACGTTAATCAAACATTATTATATGCTAAATTAATAATGATAATAAGAAAATAAAAATTAATAAAATATAACTAGACGCTTGAGTTACATAAAAGGAGTTTGATGTATTGTATGGTGGTATATCATGATTAGGAGTCTGCAAATGAAAGGAAAGTGGTATGGTCCCAAAATCTATTACTCGATTGGTCAACGTGATCATAATTGTCACATCTTGTATATTCTTCACCCACTATTAAAATTATGAAACTGTACTGCTGAAATGAACACCTATATTAAAGTCACGAACTTACACTGTAGCCATGAAAAAGTTTAAAATTCTTATTTGAAAATATAATCTATATTACTACTACTGTATCCCGACCATGAACTTCAATAAACCTTATAAAATATCTTTGACATGTTTCAACTAAAATACAGGTTTGCATACCAACTTCGTACAAACTGACTGTCAGTTTGTATGAATTTGACTATCAGTTTGTATGAAGTTGGTAGGCAAAACCTATAAAATAAAGCAATTCGTAACTCTAGTAAAAATAATTTTAATAGAATTAATTCACTCTGGTAAACATGATTTTGGTAGAATTTAATTCGTAACTCTAGTAAAAATAATTAATTTTTAACTCTAGTAAACATAATTTTGGTAGAATTAATTCATAACTCTGGTAAACATAATTTTGTTCGTATTTCTGATAGGATTGCATTTTTTAAAATTACATTTTTTGTCATTCGTTGGACATCTAAATAATAATAAATCCAAATATCTGATATCCAACGAATAACAGTTCACAAAATTTTAAACTATTAACTAAAATTTGTTTGTTATTGTTTATGATGGGTTTTTTTTATAATTAGAAGAATTAAGATTTGTATTTATTCAAACATTTACTTCAATTGATAAAATCGATTAAATTTAGAAACTAAAAAAATTGGTAATTGATTTTTTTCTATATTTTTTATATTAAATTCTAAATTATCTGGCCATGTCTTATGCTTTCTGTCATGATTTGATTTTTTTAATTTGATTTATCTTATGTTTCATTAAATATTTACCAATTGCCAGTTGGTTTTAATAATATAAGCGCACTCTAAAAATATTTTTATGAATGAATTGTATTTAGTCTTCAAAATAATACATGTCAACGTTTTTCTTACAGAAACAATTCTGATGTAATCTGCATATTGTGAACTATGGTTAACTATAGTTAACTGTTAAGAAAACTATATGAAAGATCAATCATACGGATAGGATTTTATTTTGTGCAATCCGTGATTTGAATAGTTCACATCACTATTCTGGACATCCTATATATTGGGTATAAAAGTTTTTGTCACAATCATTAAAAACCTTAATTCTGCAATTATTTATATTTTCATTAAAGTTCAATTAAACTTTACAAATTGACTAAAATCAATTGATATAATTTGGGCTATTTATTACAAATAAACATTTTTAAATTAAACTAAACTATTAGATGGTCAAGTTTAATTTAATTTTCACTTAATAAACTTGAATAAATTATTTAGTGATATTTAAGTTCAATGTACTAGTGACATAGATAAATTGATAATCCTTTTACCAAAAATATTCTTAAGTACACTAAAGACATTGATTTCCTCTTTGGTGAATCTACTACTTATTGTCACAAGCACTTGCTTTATTCCTCTCTTCATTGGTTGAATAGCTTTAGCAAATTTAAACAAATATTGATAAGTTTACACCTGTCTAAAGTTGTAACTTCAGACATCTGAATAATTTTAGTATTCAAAAAGTCACATTGGACAAAAGTAATCATTAAAAAGCCAGAAAATCAATTGAACTAAGTTCTTTATTTAATTTAATTATTTTCTAGACTTAAAACACCAAAATTACTATGTTGATAAATAATTTTTTTTGGCATTCTGTTCTTATTTAAATTAGGAATATTTTCTTTAGACATCAATCTTCTTTTGTTTCTTATATTTTCACTATGAAGATATCTTACAGCTTCTTCAGTTTTCTTTAATTTTAACTGTAATTTTAAGTTAATATTAATCAACATTTATAAGTTGTATTTAAGTAAACATTACATACTTCAAGTTCTTTAAGAATACAGTAAATATCTTCAAATAAATAACAATTATCCTCCTCTGATAAAATTATGCAAGTGTCAATTCTTCCAAAAAGATAGATTCCTTCAAACCAAGACATTGCATAAAAATTTATTTCAAGTCCTAAAAAATTTGCTTTAGTAATGACTCTTTTAAACTATCAGGATCTAGTAATATTGACAAACCATCTTGTATAAATCTGTATACAACAAAAGATTTTCTGTCTTCATTACTAATATGCCTCCATTGCTTTAAAGCCTTATTAATAGAATCTCACATTATAATGGATAATTTGACTTTATCAAGATACTTTTTCTTTCTACTTGCTATTGATAGACCAAAAGGTTCTAAACCTTTAGATACTTCTCCATATAAGGCCTCTATTTTACATGAAGTATTTATTAATATTCCTTTCATGTCTGCTTTATGACCAACTTTAGCTCATTGAAAAGGATTATTTAATTCATTACAAGCTTCATTTGTTGCTAAAAACTGAACTTCTCTCCTAAAACTAAAGGTTTTCAAAAATGTGCTTGATCAATTTGTTGCTTTTAACATAATACTCATACCATTTATCATCTATTACATTTTGTGAAAATATTCCATGAATTAATGCAAATACTGTGGCCATTTTTAGTTCTTGCTTGCTAATATATCGCTTAAATCGATCCATGTTTAATTTGCTATATAATTATTTAAACTATTGATATTTTAGTAAAAATTTAAAAAGAAAATAAACTAATTATACTTATATAAATTGAACACAAATATGTAGTTTTTCAAATCCACAAACCACATCTTCACATTTATTATTAAAGTACTCTTGCAAGTTTTTGGGAGCTGATTTTGGTGACCATGCAATCATATTTGTAAAAAGTTGTGCTACTTCATTCAACAATTCATTATCAATTTCTTTACAATCGAACAAACTCTCTCTAGTAAGGTCTAATATCCTCCAATATGCTGGTCTATTGAATATTTGAAGAAAGACATTAGTCAAATTATTATATGAATAATATAATAATAATATTAATTTGAATAAATTAAAATTATTAGGATTCTATTTAATAAATTTAATATTATTTTTACCATTTCAAGTTCTATTATTGGCTGGTAGTATAAAATCTGAGAAATTCATTTCTTCAATTAAGCTATTATCATCTATTAATTTACTGAGTCTCTTCTCATTATCATAATCAAAAAGAAATAATAATTTTCACTAACTGATGAATCTAGTTTCAAATATATATAAGTTATTATTATTATAATATGTGCTGCTGAATTAGAATTAACAAGAATGATACCATTATTGTTTATATTAAAGTTAATCCACAAATTATTTACGTCAACGCTGCGTTTATCCTTTTATTAATAATAAAAATATAAAAAATATATAGTTCAAATTTATAGCAAGCACATAAAAGTTACTTATTATATGCCTCAGAAATACAACAAATGGGCTGCATCTATTTATATGAAAATAAAAGCAATATTCGTTGACATATATATCTCAGTAATAAAAGCAGTACCTGGCACCATATATAGATACAGCGAAAAACGATACCTATTGATATATACTAAGTGTAGCAATTATGACTATACTGAGATAATTCAAAGGGATAGTTTATATGGCTTAGAGATACAGATAGTATCTGTCGATAATATGTCTCAGTAACATCGTGAGAAATAAAAGTGCAGTATAGTATTCGTTGACATAATAATATTCCTATAAAAATGTACTCACTTTTATATTTAGAATTATTCTTGCTTTCTGAACTTTCGTATTATCTTGACAATTTTGAGTGATTGAACACAGGCTCCTCAAAAGTGCATCATTTGCTTTTAGAAATTGAAGTTTTCCTGGATCATTTTTATGATTTTCTATCCAAGTTTTATGAAAGCTCGAGATATTCCAAGTATTAGCCTCATTTTGGTCAAAATACACATTTCATTTTTAATTTGTCATTGTGTTATTATGAATGAAAAATGTTTGTTTTGATTTTTGGTGATTTACAACTTTAATGATTTTGTCATGTGAAGATTGTCAATCAGCCTGATTTAATTGGTTACCATCGATAATGATAATGATAAGTGCATTATATAATTAAAGTGATTAGTAGATGAGTGATTCGACGTGATAATGAACGAAAGATTCTGAGAGCTATTAATGGATTCATCGCATAATTGACCTTGATCACATCACATAATTTATCCTAATGCATCATGATTTTTTAATAGTAAATTTGTATTTGATCTAGTAAAGGTAGTGTAGTAAAATGAATTAAAACTACCTTAGTATATAAGTTTCAATTCATCCTCTGACAGCAACTAGAGGCCATCGGAAAACAAACTGGGTTCGAATAATAAAAAAAATTTTCTAATAATATTGTACAATGCATGCTTCATTTTATGTTTTCAAAAGATATTGCATGCAATATAATTTATAGTTTATAAAATAGTTAAATTTAAGTTAATTATGTTTACCATCAATTCTACCAAAATTATGTTTACCAGAGCTATGAATCAATTTTACTAAAAGTGTCAAAGATATTTTATAAGTTTATATTAAGGAATATAGTTATTTTATTCTGATTTTCACAATAGTTATATTTATAAGTAATAGTTGTCTAAAAATTATAGAGAAATTTTTTTTGTGCTAGGGATTTGTTAGATTTAAAAACTTTTATATTGGTGATATTCTATTGTAAACAAAGTTATTAATTAAATATAGTAAATAATAACTCTGTGAATAAGTATTTGAGTATAATTTGTATGCGATTGTGTATATTTTTCCTTTTTATATGCTATTCATGCAATTCTTTCATTTTAGCTATTATTATGAAAGCCCACTATGTTTATCTATGAATCATCGAATACTATACAATCATTAAATCTGATAAATCAAAACTGACAAATGTCACTCAAAACTAGATGAATCTTGATAACAGTTTTTGATTTATTGGAAGGATTGTAAGTTATACTTATATTTACTTTCTTTTGCACTATTAAACTCTGCTGAAAATTGTCATTATCCACAGGCACATATTTGGAGTTGTAGGCCATTGTTAACAGAAAATAAATATAGTGAAAATGCTTATGTTATCTATGCAATATCTAAGATTTTGGATTCAATCTTTGCTTATTCTAAATAGACTTTTAAGCGCGCATAGTAAATGAATTTTTTTTATTATTTCTATTTGGGCTCTTCAATAAAAGTAGGCAATATAAATATCTTTATTGAATACAAAAAAAAAAGAAACAAATTTTTATTAGAATATTTTAAAGTTTATAACATTGAATTCATATATTTTGTTCATCTTTTTGGTGCATTTGTTTTTATATAGCTTCTCTTTTTTTATTGTTGAAAGCCTATTTGTTCAGTATTATAACTATATGTATATACTAAATATTTCATACAATTAGGTCAAAACAGACAAGTAAATCATCTCAAAATCGGAAGATAAGAATGTGTTTTATAAATTCTGGAAAAAAACCAGATTTACAAGTTTTGTTAAATCTTGACATGAAAGAAAGTGAATTTATTCTTGTCGAAATTTTATGTTTATTTCCACAAAATAGTAAAGAAATGGATGACTGGAAGAAATTAGTCCGCATATGTAAAGATTGCTTTGACAAGCATTACAATGATTTTTTTGATGGAAGAGAAGATAATAGTTTAATGGCAAGATCTATAAGATGAAAGCTAGAAAAGATTCCTATTTTAGGAATCCAAGTAATATGTAATTATATAACTGTTTTAGCACTAGATTTATTTAATGGAACTTTTTATGCATTTTTAGAATATGTGAATTGATAATTCCCTTACGACCTTCTACTCCACATATCATTGAAGAATTCCTAAAAAATGCAATTGCAATAAGATCCATCATCGAAAAATTGTCATAGTCTCAGTGAATATAAAGGACGAAATTAATCGTTTACCAATAGTTGAAGACCGAATCCCACTAGCATCAGCCATTTTAACTATTTATTCCTACTATGAAATTGACAGAGTTTATTTTAAAGTAGAATAGCTTTTAAAATTATTCAATTAAAATTTAGTTTCAAATAATAAATATAATGAAATTTGAATGTAATAAAAATTTGCTGCATAATAAATACTTTTAATATTTAGCATTTCGACTGTATTTATAAAATAGATACTTTATAAATAACACTGGATATGTATTTTTTTTATTGTTGAATGATCCACCAATGATGTATAGTTATCAAATTCAGAAAAATGAATATAATATTTGAAAGTCTCTATGAAATAAAAAAAGTTATCAAACTTGGTTATATAATTGCTAAAAAATATTTAAAGTTTAAAAAAAAGTTTTTGTAACTTTTTTAAATTTTAAGCGAAATTTTGTCAATAAATATCTAACCAAATTCTATAAAAATTTTTTATTTTAATTTTTTTAAATCTATCGAATTAAAATTATAAAGAACCAAAAATTTGTGACTATTGTTATACCTACGAAAACTTCACCCTTAAAAATTCCTATTTATAGGGCAACCTTGAAGTCTTCGTGTAATGATAGTCATTCAAGATACAGTACTAAAAAATTTTTCTCGATATCATCACCATGATAGTATTCTGGATGATATAGAAGTCTTATGTTTGAAAAATCATTCGATTATTTTGAATGCACTATGAACCTTTAAATAGCAGAGTTATCAATGGAATTTAGGGTAATTCTTCCTACTCAATATCAAAACAAGAAATAAAATTTAATTACTTATAGATATTGACACAAATTATTTATATAAATATACTATATAAATGGTTAGTTACAAGATATTGATGATAAATCAGCATAATCAACATTAGAAACACCCTTCATATCACTTTTTCTGATAAATTTGAACTATTTAATACTCCCGTTTATTTCTGAATACACCATTTTTTTAAACACTAATTATAGCTAAGAATGTATTATCGGAAACCCCAAATACTTTTTTGCTTACCTGCACTCATAATACAAACCATATACATATTTAAATTAGTTGTTTAAAAATAATCATTGTCATTCATATAATATTTCAATACCAATAATTCAAATCACAATTTCCTATGAATTAATCTCGAAAAGGATAATAATAACTTCGACTTAACAATATAATATCAAAGCTTAAAAAAACAAAAAAGTTTTTATTTCCCTTGTGATAGTCCAGTACATACAGTCAATCTAATGACATATAGATAAAAAGCAAAAACATTCAAAAAATTCAAAACTTATAACAGTGAACTTATTAAAGTTTCACATATAAGGTTCTTATGTTAGAAGAAAAAAATATACTAATAAAATACAGTAAAATCTTAACATAGAAATCATTAGTTCTTAGTATGAGATTGAACTATTACACGTAATTAGTATAACATTTCTTTTTTAAAAAATTATATAAATACTCTTTCACTTTCTCACTAATTATTTTATCGCATATATTATTAAAAAATTTTTCGTATCTTCATCTTCTGAATTAAGAATTATAGCTTTAAAAAAATAAGCATAAGCCAGTTCATCCATATCATTATCATCAGAATCATCATAATAAAAAACAGCAAGCTGAAAAATACTATTAGCATAATTTATGTCTGCAAATTTTTGAAGATACTCCAAAGCTTTATCTTTATTTTTATCAGTATCATCTCCATGTAAAAAGCAATATCTGACTTTATGAATGGCTGGAACAAGACCTAAATCTGTGAATTCTTTAAAGTAATAAAATGCTTTGTCTTGTTTACACTCTTTTTCTTTTTGCAACCCTTCATCATATAATTTTTCTGGCGATTTATAATTTCCAATAACCATATTTTCTACATCAAATTTTCTTTAGTTTGATTGATATAATGATAAGACAAGAAAAAATATCATACATACGTGTTGAGAGTCAAACTCGATCTATCCAAGTTGAGGTTGTTTCTCAACACGTATGGCATGATTTATATATATCTTGCTTCATTGTTAGTCCATTACTGCTGCTCCCTTGATTATAAAGATAATTTTTGAAATAAGTTAATTCTGTAACCTCTATATTAGAACCAACTTTTAATATTATGTATTTAGATCTGAATAATTATACAAAGAATCATCCAAATAAGAAAATTTAAATGAGAGAAAATTATTGGTTGACAAATGCATTATTATAGTGATTTATTTTGTTTTGGATCGTCTTGGACTTTGCAATATTATGTACTGTATCTTTAACCACATGTATAATCACTTAATTGTCATTGATCATGTGATTGTAAAGTAATTTTCTTAATAAAAATTTAATGCTATAATTTATGATCTTTCTACCACAAAAATCTCGACATCCAAAATCTCGAAAACCATAATCCTAACATCATGTGGAGTGACAATTAATATTTGTAATCACAATAACTCATTAAATTTTTAATCATTACATTTTCGAATCAGATAATTGTACTGTATGTGTGATTTGCAAATTTGATCAAAGATACATCATTTTGCAAACAATGATAAATAAATCTAAGGAACAATACCATCATGTGGTTGTTCCAAAGTAAGGTCAATTTAATATTTATGACTTATGTGAACTAACGTTACAATTATATATTAAATATTGTGTTATTTTTAGATAAACAGATACAGCTTATATTATTATGGTTTAATTCAAAGAAGCTTCAATTCACTTGGTTGGCACATGAAGGGATTATTTCTACCTTATTTGAGAAACACGATGTAGGAGCAATAATTGAAATCTATTTAATTGTAAAGGTTTGTAATGGTGTATAATTTTATGCTTCAAAATATTTACACAACTTGTTTATTTTAAGGAATAATGAAAGAAAACTATGAAGTAATTTTGAAAATAATACAAGAAATAGGAAGAGATCCTTTTCAAGAGAAATCCATACAGGCATTTGAATATCTTTATCAAGTTATTTGACCGACCTCTGCCTACCCCTAAAATGCAAAAAAGAGAGTCATTAAATTGATTATTAAGAAAATATGATGATGAAACTATATATTTTTATTGTGTTTTTTAGTTTTTAGTTTTTACTTAAATAATATCTTTAGCAAGAAACTGAAATATAGAATATGAATTTCATATATACATATAATTATAAATTTTTACACAATTACAATTTTATTAATTCGTAACTCTGGTAAACATAATTTTAGTAGAATTTAATTCGTAACTCTAGAAAAAATAATTTTGATAGAATTAATTTGTAACTCTAGTAAACATGATTTTGGTAGAATTAGTTCGTATTTCTGATAGGATTGTATTTTTCAAAATTACATTTCTATGTTACAACTGTTATTTATTGGATATCTAAATAATAGTAAATCCAAATATCCATTGGATTTACTATTATTTAGATATCCAATGAATAACAGTTCACGAAACTTTACATATCTTTTTATTAAGTTCAGTTTTAAAAATATATAATTATAAAAGTTTTACTATATAATTATAATTAAATTTTTAAACTATTAACTAAAATTTTTTGTGTTATTTATTTATATTCTAATTAACATATTTATTATTCTAAATAAGGTTTTTGGTTAACATAATTATATTATACATCTTTCTAAAATCAATTTTTAGTATAAATAAATATATATAATTTATATATATAATATATATAAATAAACTACAATGAAACCTCCATAAGTTACGTGGAGAACCAAGATAATGATAATCAGACCCAACGTACAGGACAGGCTATGGCACTTTTCACAGCTGTGAGAACCAAGCTTAAAATGGCGAGTGACCCTACAGAAGATATACAACTCAAATCATTATCAACATTATTAAATTCCTATGATTTGGACACCTGCTATAACAAATTTCTCCAATATTATCATCTTTCTCTATTACATTTTTAACCTACTATAAAAACTTTTTTCCAATACTTGCAACAAATAAATTCTACTCAACTATTAAATACTTCTATGATAACATTAAAGATAGACAAAACTGAAGCTCACATTTATTTATTACATGAGCTTACTATTCTGCCAAACTATTATATTCCTTCTACTACTGATTCTCTTAATATACCTCTTAAATTTCAATCTAATTCCCAAACTGCTAACTTTAATACTAAATTTAAATTACAAAGTAAATACAATACTCCTTTATGCTTTAAAGTTGTAAACACAAACAACATACTCTCTCCTAGATACACAACTACACCTCAGGTCTCTATCTCAATAGATGAAGATTTACAATCCAATCTTTTTATTAAACCTCTTGAGCTATTAATTAGTATTCACAATGTTCGAGGTTACAATGAAGATCTTAAACAGCAAATGTGAGAGAACTTCTGTCTAACAAATAATCTCAATATAGCTAGTATTACTAAAACTAAAATAGCTAGTACAAATGCAATAACAAAGCTACAAAAATCCAATCACTTTACATACTACTGGTCATGCAGTAATGTCCCAAAAGCTGATACTGCAATTATGATCAATAACTGGCTCAAACCACATGTTCACAAAATACATAACCTTCCTGGTTATGCTATTGCT